GGTCAGGTAGATACAATCTCAACTGATACTGCATTAGTTCATTTTCGCATGCGACAAAATTAAGGTACACAAGTAGTGTCATGACATAGTCCTTGTTAGTGAACATTTGAAATCATAAAGAAGATGTGGAGAATGCACCATGGTATTGCAGTGTTTTATCAGTGTCATCTCCACAGTGAGAAAAAACAGAGAATGACATAAATAAAATGCATGCAGTGACTATTCTGAAAAGTTGGGTATACAATAGTGAATAACACAAACCAAATGAGTTATTGGAAACCTTATCCTGAGAACACCGGTTTGTTCAAATTAGGTGTTTGAGGAAATTGTTGATTTAACCAAATATACAGATAATGTTATTGTACGTAATATTAACATAATGTGTAGGAATGGGAAATCATACTGATTTGAATATGAAGACAGCAGTGGTCGATGCGACAGTGTACTGTCTGAGTGCATACTTTGAGGTATCCTTGTAATAACCTTATGATTATCATTTTCCTTCCAAGGATACATCATAGGAATGGCGAAATCCAAAATGTCTTTGTGTGGAGTCTGATAAACCCTGATGGCAGCCATGTTTGTTTTTATTATTAGAGGATGCTTACGTGCGTAACCATTCTATATTTGGAATTCAGATTTCCTAATATGTTAGGATGAAAAAAACCCGTAACATGTCGCAAAATTACAGCATGCTGTAACTTATGACGTGACGTTACGTTACGTTACGTTACCGTGACAGATGTATAATAATACACAGTATGTGTTCTCAAAATCATAACAGTTGATTCATGCAAGGTCTGTTTTCCCAGAACTAATGTTAATGCTTCACAAACCTCTAGCAATACTAATGCAAATCTATTTTCAGTTAATATACGGGCAGGGTTTGCGCTAGTGTCTCGACAAGACGAGTCCCATTTAAAAAAAGTTAAGAAATTGAAATTTGACCCTGGATCAATTTATTAGACATTGGACCCCAGCTTGCCTGAAAAACTGGGTCCCTCTTCAATAATTGGAGTCCGGGAAGCAAAATATGGGGTTAACGCAATCCCTGTATAATACGGGTATTCCAAATCTCTCCATTTAAATGAACACAGCACTTTCATTAGTTGAATTTTGATGGGGTCAAAAGACAGAATGTGAATCAAATGCACCTAGTCAAATGACATACAAATTGATTGCAGGTGGAAAGCAATTCAAATACCTGTACAGCTGGGGTTTGACTTGACAAGTTTTGAGGTAAAGAGATGTGAACATCAAGGCATTAGATATTGCAGTAGTTAAGCAGAGTTGAAAGTCTATGTGTCAGAACTGGGTCCCAACATATGCATATATTCTATGAAAACTCACCTTAAGTTGACCTTTAAATTCGTATCTGCGATCACGGAATGCACGTACTGTGTCAACATAGAACGAATTCTCTCGTTGACATACAGTTGTTTGGCGTTCTTCAATTCTGGTGATATGTACTTTTTTGTATGCTTTGCGACAATACTCTATTGTTAATATAATAAAGAACAATTTTAATAATAAATTATCCTACTTGCAAATCAATTGTTAGAAGAACAAAACAAAGATAAGATCATATTAAGTTCAAAACCACATGAAATGATCAGAGCAATTCATTGACAGTCAGCCAACCTAATAGCCACCATCAAAAATGGCCACCAGTTGGACATATAGGAATGCATGAAAAATGGCAACCAGTTGGCCATATAGGAATGCATGAAAAACGGCCACCAGTTGGCCATATTGGAATGCATCAAAAACGGCCACCAGTTGGACATATAGGTGTGCATGAAAAATGGCCACCAGTTGGACATATAGGAATGTATCAAAAACGGCCACCAGTTGGACATATAGGAATGCATGAAAAATGGCCACCAGTTGGACATATTGGAATGCATGAAAAACGGCCACCAGTTGGCCATATAGGAATGCATGAAAAATGGCAACCAGTTGGACATATAGGAATGCATGAAAAATGGCCACCAGTTGGACATATAGGAATGCATGAAAAATGGCCACCAGTTGGACATATAGGAATGCATGAAAACTGGCAACCAGTTGGCTATATTGGAATGCATCAAAAATGGCCACCAGTTGGACATATAGGAATGCATGAAAAATGGCAACCAGTTGGACATATAGGAATGCATGAAAAATGGCCACTAGTTGGCCATATTGGAATGCATCAAAAACGGCCACCAGTTGGACATATAGGAATACATGAAAAATGGCCACCAGTTGGACATATAGGAATGCATGAAAAATGGCAACCAGTTGGCCATATTGGAATGCACCAAAATACGCAACCAGTAGATCATATTGGAATGCACCAAAATAGGCAACCAGTAGATCATATTGGAATGCACCAAAATAGGCAACCAGTAGATCATATTGGAATGCATCAAAATAGGCAACCAGTAGATCATATTGGAATGCACCAAAATAGGCAACCAGTAGATCATATTGGAATGCATCAAAATAGGCAACCAGCAGATCATATTGGAATGCACCAAAATAGGCAACCAGCAGATCATATTGGAATGCACCAAAATACGCAACCAGTAGATCATATTGGAATGCACCAAAATAGGCAACCAGTAGATCATATTGGAATGCACCAAAATAGGCAACCAGTGACCACAATGGTACACATGAAATACATTGAACACCACATATACCACATTAACATTGTAAAATGTTTGTAAAACTGTGACATTTGAGGGCATTTAGACATGGTTGTAAATGCTTACCTGCAAGTCGTTTTTTTTCAATAAAAGCCTGTTCTTCTTTGTGTATTTCATGAAATACTCGTGGTGGATCTCCAGGGTTCAATCCTGGTATCCTCTCAGTTTCTAATTGTTGTTGAATGCGATTGAATTCACTACGTGAGGCTGGCACTGTAAGAACAAATTTACGAAAATATTAGAGTCTGTTGGAACACAGTCAAAATCTTAACATCGCATTGG